GGGGTCTCGCTCTTGCTCAGGCTGGTCTCGAACTCCTGACCTTGAGCGATCCAGAGCCTCCTGATCTTGAGCCTCCCAGAGTGCTAGGATTACAGGCGTGAGCCACCGCGCCTGGTCAATAGCTCGTTTTTTTAATGATGACTATTTCATTCTGTGGATGCACCACAATTTATCCATTCATCTATTGAGGGATATCTTGGTTGCTTCCAAGTTTTGATAATTATTGATAAACCTGCTATAAACATCCACATGCAGGTTTTTGTATGGACATAAGTTTTCAACTCATTTGAGTAAATATCAAGGAGTATAATTTCTAGATTATATGCTAAGAGTATGTTTAGTTTTGCAAGAAACTGCCAAACTGTCTTCCAAAGTGGCAGTACCATTTTGTATTCCCACCAACAATGAAGAAGAGTTTCTGTTGCTCCACATCTTCACCAGTATTTGATGATTCAGTGTTTTGAATTTTGATCATTCTAGTAGGTATGTAGTGGTATCTTATTGCTATCTTATGATGTAGAAAGTATTTTCAAGTACTTATTTGTCATCTGTGCATCTTCTTTGGTGAGATGCCTGTTCAGATCTTTTGCCCATTTTACAATCTGGTTGTTCATTTTCTTATTGGATTTTAAGAGAGTTTTTCTTTTTTGTATATTTTGGAGAATATTCCTTTATCAGATATATGTTTTGCAAATATTTTCTCCCAGTCTGTGACTTGTCTTCTCATTCTCTTGATAGTGACCTTCACAGAGCAGAAATTTTTAATTTTAATGAAGTCTAGGGTATGAATCATTTTTTTTTCATGGATTGGGCCTTGGGTGTTATATCTAAAAAGTCATTGCTATACCCAAAGTCACCTAAATTGTCTCTATGTTATCTTCTAGGATTTTTAGAGTTTTGCATTTTATATTTTTATCCATAATTCATTTTGTGTTAATATTTATGAAGGTTATAGGCTATGTATCTAGACTTATTTTTTTAATGTGATGTGCAGTTGTTCCAGAAGCATTTATCAAAAAGACCATCTTTTTTCTATTACATTGCCTTTACTCCTTTGTCAAAGATCAGTTGACTATATTTATGTGGATACATTTCTGGGTTCTCTATTCTGTTCCACTAATCTATTTGCCTTTTCCTTCAGCAATACACACTGTCTTCATTACTGTACTTTTATAGTAAGTCTTGAAGTTGGGTAGTGTCAGTCCTCTGACTGTGTTCTTCTCCTTCAACCCTGTGGTGACTACTTTGATTCTTTTGCCTCTCCATATAAACTTTAAAACAAGTCTGTTGATATTCAAAAAATAGCTTACTAAATTTTGATTGGGATTACATTGAATCTATAAATCAAATTGGGAAGAAATGACGTCTTGACAATATTGAGTTTTCCTACCCATGAACATGGAATATCTCTGCATTTATTTAGTTCTTCTTTGATTTCCTTCTTGAGAGTTTTATAGTTTTCCTACAAATGTAAATAGTATTGTGTCCAGTTCCATTTGTTCATTGCCAGCATATATAAAAGTGATTTATTTTTGTATATTAACCTTGTATCCTACAACCTCATTATAATCATTTATTAGTTCAAGTCTTTTTTGTTGTTGTTAATTCTATTGGATTTTCTATATAATTATGTTATCTATAAGCAAAGACAGTTTTTTTCCTCCCTTCCCAATATTTATGCCTTTTATTTCCTTTTCTTGTCTAATTGCATTGGGCTAGGAATTACTGTATAATGTTGAAAAGCAGTGGTGAGAGGGGACATCCTTGCTTTATTCCTAATCTTAGTGTAAGAGCTTATAGTTTCTCACCATTAAGTATGGTGTTAGCTGAATTCTACTTTTAAAAATACATTTTAAACTTTTGTAAATTTACATAGAAATAACACTATCAAGTACGTTTGTATCCATAATTTTAACTAAGTAAGGGCAGTTAAGGCACTACATTTTTCTTTCAGGGTGACTTCTGGGTAAACTTGGAATGAAGTCTACTCTTACATCACTAAATTCTTTTTTTTTTTAATTTCAGCATATTATGGGGGTACAGATGTTTAGGCTACGTATGTTGCCCTTGCCCCCC